AAGAAGAAGAAGAAGAAAGCAAGTAGTTAGGAAAGTGGTGGTGGCTGGCAGTCATAGGTTTTCCTCTATGGTCTGTGGCCACAGGAAACACAGGTGATAAGTTATAGTACCAGGCATGAATTCTCTGCTGTCGAGTGGTCCTTAAGACCAATTAGATGGGTATTAGTTATCCTCAGGGTAGAAGCGCCACTGTTGCACCTTGAGGAACATCTTGCTATTCTGGTCATTGCTGTGGTCACAGGCTTTACTGCTGAATAGGTCTCTTAGTTGCTTTTCTCCCTTGGCAGCTTGCACATCACCTTCCTGTGCTGTGAAAAGCCAGTCCTGAGGAAATGTCTAGATCAAGCCAGCTTGATTCCTTCAAGGTCTATGTCTGAAGTAGTACATTAGGGACTTATCTTCATGGACTGGACATACACTCAGGGACATGGCAAATAGCTTGTATTGTTTTGGTGGTTTTGGACTCCCCAGACCACCAACTTAACAACTTGAAGGGAGGTTTTCCACATCTGGGACTGGTTTTCCTCCTCCTCCTCCTCCTCCTCCTCCTCCTCCTCCTTCTTCTTTGTCTATGGCTTAGTTTAGTGCTGTATCTTTATTTAAACTATATACATAGGTACACACAGACATGTCTGTGCATACACATACACACATGTAATTGTAAGCAAACATAAATACTATGATTCCCTATGGCTTTTTAGGGTTGTTTATCTTCTTTCTTCCCTCTCCTTCTGTGTTGTCCTCCCTCCTGACTTCCTGGGTAAATCTCCCTCAGCCCTGTTTTTGTTTTTTGTTTTTTGGTTTTTTTGTTTTTGTTTTTTTTTTTTTGATACAGGGTTTCTCTGTGTAGCCCTGGCTGTCCTGGAACTCACTCTGTAGACCAGGCTAGCCTCGAACTCTTGAACTCAGAAATCTGCCTGCCTCTGCCTCCCAAGTGCTGGGATTAAAGGTGTGCGCCACCACCGCCTGGCCAGCCCTGTTTTTCTTAACTCCATTTCCATATTGTTTGTCTAATTTTTCGATGCTTTGGACAGAACTCAGGGCTTCCCATATCCTAAGTCATCCTTAACCCAGCTCTTTCATTGTTAATTGAAATATTCTTAACATAGCAAGACCCTGTCTAAAAAAGCATAAAATGGATGTTCAATTTTAAAAAATTCCTGTGCATGTGAGTTTGTGCTGGTATCCTCACAGGTCAAAAGAGGCCACTGGGTTCCCTGAAACTAGCGTCACACGTGGCTGTGATCTTCCTGGTATAGTTGCTGGGCATATACTCTCAAGCACTGAGCCGTCTTTTCAGTTTTACAATGGTCAGTATGTTAAATGAAAATATATGAACAGTGGTAGTAGGCTTGGTGGGTTGCTCAATGGTAGAGCACTGGCCTAGCATGTGCAAGAAGCCTGGGTTCCATCTCCGGCACTACAAAAAAAGCTATTAATCAATGTTGGTTATTAATCATGATTGCTACAAATATTTTATAATTGTGTTTTATCTTTTATGGTTTTGTAATTTTCTTTGTAATTAAAAAGCTTTTTTACACTCACTTACTTATCTGTGCACGTGTGTGTGCCCACACGTGTACTGTGTCACAGTTCTGGAGGTCAGAGGATGGTTTTCAGTAGTCTGCTCTTTCCCTTGACCACATGGGTCCTGGGGATCGAACCCAGGTTTGGTTTACTCATTGAGTCATCTTGTCAGCCTGTGTTTGTGAAGTCTGGAGTTAGTATACAGAGGTGGCCATGTCCTCATTCTGTCCTGGTTTCAGTCCCCAGCTTCTGGCAGTGAGGTGGATGATAAGTGTGGCAAGTGTCTGTTGCATTTTCCTTCGCATGGGTTCACAGGCAAATGTGGATGTATTTATACCATCCTTATAAATACTCTCCGAAGCGAGGAGAAACAATGAATATTAGTTTACAGCTTGCTTTTCCTGATATAGTCCTCTGTACCAGTTTCACTTCACTATTTACCCTTTTGTCCACGTGAGGATGGAAACTAGGGCCCTGCACATGCCAAGCACAGGCTGCTCAACTATACTGTATCTGCCTCCCAATAAACAACATTTTATTGATTGTTTAAAAAGATTTGTTTTAGCTGGGCAGTGGTGGCACACGCCTTTAACCCCAGCACTTGGGAGGCAGAGGCAGGCAGATTTCTGAGTTCGAGGCCAGCCTGGTCTACTGAGTGAGTTCCAGGACAGCCAGAACTACACAGAGAAACCCTGTCTCGGCCCCCCCCCCCAAAAAAAAGATTTTTTTTTTCATTCTATGTGTGTAAACATCTTGCATGCATGTATGTGTATGCCCCATGTGTGTGCAAATGGCAAATGTCCTTGCAAGCCAGAAGAGGGCGTCATTGGATTCCTTGGAACTGGAGTTACAGGCAGTGGTGAGCTGCCTCATGGATGCTGGGAATTGAATGAGGTCTTCCCTCTGCAAGAGCAGCCAGTGCTTTTAACAGCTGAGTCATCTTTCCAGCCCCCCTTCCCCCTCTCTCTCCCTCCCCTCCTCCACACGTTCTCTCTGTGAAGGTCAGAGGACAACTTGCAGGAGAGGTTCTCTCCTTTTACCACATGAGTCCTGGGACTAGAACTCAGGTTGTCAGGATTGGCAGCAAGTAAGCAAGCCCCTTTACTCTTGTTCAGCTATATAGCTGGTCCTATCCTTTTTTTTGAGATAGGGAATGAAGGTGCCTGGCTTCTAATATGTTTGTAGCCTAGGATAATCTTAAACTCCTGACTCTCCTCTCTACCTGCTCAGCACTGGGATGACAGGTGGCCAAGTCCAGCTTCAGATACTTTTTTTTTTTTACACCAATGTTTGGGAGTGGTTTCATTGCTTTATCTGGATCCCAGGCCACCTTCAATTCTTTAGTTTAATTTGTTGCTGGAATATAACATGTATGTACTTGTCAGCAGAGCCAGCAACACAAAGGATTTCCACAATGCAGGCAGAGCTGCCTTTGTCCCATCCTAGCACCAGTCTCTCAGTTCCTCTTCCAGGAAGTTGAGTACTTTCTTTTTCCTGTGCAGTTGTGGACTCTCTGCACTTATACAGACTCTGGGATCCATGGGGAGAGGGAGTATCATCCTGAGCATTGCTCTGCCTCCAGCCTTTAGTGTTTGAAGCACAGAGTGCTTGGATGGCCAATGGGAAGACCCTGTTTCACTCGCACATATGGTACCTATTTATTTTATTTCATTTTATAGTATTTTCCATGCTGGGGACAGAATTCAGGGCTTTATGCATCACAGGCAGGTACTCTACCCCTGAGCCACACCCACAGCCCCTCAGCTTGGGGATTCTAGTCCATTGTTCTGCCATTTCCGGTACTCTATTGAAAGGCTTAATCTATCTAGCAAGTCATAAACCTAGAACTTGTTATGTAACAGAAGATGGCTTTGGACTTCTGATCCCTGCCTCAACCCACTGAAGTGCCGGGATGATAGGCTTGCAAACAGTGACCCACTTACTGATTTAATTTTTGGGGTGGTGGAGACAGATCATGGGGCCCTGTGCATAAGAGACAAGTACTGTAACATTGAGCCACTCGCCCCAACAAATACCTCAGTGCCAATAGATATGAGGCCCAGCATTAAACAGGTCAAGGGGAAATCTTCTTTGCTTTTATGGGGCTTATGTTTGGGTGGGCAATCTACCCTTTTATTTTGTGTGTTTAATTTCTTTTTGTTTTTAATTATGTGTAATCTCGTGGGTATGTGCATGTGAGTACAAGGGCCCTTGAGGCTGAAAGTGTTGGATCCCCTGGGGCTCGACTCATAAGAGGCTCTCAGGTCTGTGGGGCTGGGAAGGTCTGTCCTCTGCAGGAACAGGAAGTGCTGTTGACCACTTGAGGCACCTCTTAGCACCTTTTAAAAATTTATTAATTTTAACTTTATATCTGTGTGTGTGCACACACATGGGTGTGTGCAGGCGCCATAGCAGCAGGCCTTGGCGGTCACAGGGCAATTTGCAGGAATTGGTTCTCGCTTTTCACCATGTGGGTCCTAGGCAAGGCCTTACCCCCCACACACACAGCTGAGCAGCCTGTCATTCTTTTTTAAATGCAATTATTATTATTGTACGTGTGTCATGTGTCGGTGTGTGAATGAAGGTGCAGCAATGCCAGTGTGTCCTGTGGAGGTCAGAAGCCAACTTTGCTTCCAGGGTGTAAACTCAGGTCAGGCTTCCAGGCAAGCACTTTCCCCTCGGCCGAGTGCAGCTAGACGCTGACCTTCTGTTACTCTAATTTTGGAATTTTTTTTCACTCTGAGTTGTTTGGAGGGAAGGAGCCAACAGGATCATGTGATCAAGACTGGCCTTGAACTCTAAAACAGACCTCCTGCTTCTACTTCACAAGTGCAGGAATTGGAGTTCACAAGTGCAGGAACTGGAGGTCCGAGCCACCATTCCACAGTTTTGCAGTGTTGAGGATGGACAACCAGGCAAACACTCAACCAGCTGAATCCACATCCCGGCCTGTTGTTTTTCAGAAAGGGTCTTGAGCTGGCAACCCGGGTGAAGGCTGCTAGGACAACCCTTCCAGGTGGCAGATGCTGGGATGACAGGCATATGTGCCACAACACCCAGTTGGATTTGGGGGTTCTTACCAAGTCTTCTGTTTGGGGGTGCTGGGCGTGGTACAATGTAGGCATTTATTTCTTGTAGAAACACACAGTAGGTGCTCAATCTTGAATTGCTGAGTCCTCACGTTGTGGGTAAGTGTGATTTCCTCCATTTCCAGGTCCCAGGTCCCAGCCTGGAGCTAAGCCAAATGGAATACAATTGTTTCAGGACTAGGCCACTTGGGTCAAAAGAGCTGTGACGTCACGCGGCCGTGACATCATGCCACGCAGTTCTCACGAGTGGGGGTTTGGGGGGAGCAGGGCGGGAGTTGGGGGGTGCGGACAAAGGGGCCCTGCTCTTCCCCTGTGCGCGCCCTGGCTAACTGGCGGGCCACATCTGGAATTCATTGCAAGTCGCCGCCGGAAAGAGGAGGAGAGGAGGGCGGGGCGAACAGGGAGTTGGGGCCGGAGGCGGCGGCTCTGCCCGCCTCTCTCTTGTCCTGGGTCCCCAACTCCGGGACTTAGACCGAGCACAGCCAACAGTCTCCAAAACCAGCCACTGGCTTTCCCGGGGCGCAGACGCCAAGGCCACTCAGGCCAGGGCAGGGACCCCGGCCGGCCTAGCCAGGTGAGCGCGCGGGGCAAAGGGGAGGTTCCGATCTGGGCGGGCCGCGATCCACTGAGACCCTGGGATCTCAGCTTGGGGGCCCGGGCCAGCGTCAGGCGCTCGTACAGGCGTTGCACGCGCTGCTCCAGGCTCTGCTACACCGAGGGGACGGATCATCCACTGTGCGCCCCTGCCCACCACTCCAGGCAGCTGCTCCCCACCTACTGAGTGGCGCACCCCCAGACTGAGCTCCCCGCCTTCCTTGGGCCAGGAAGTTGGCGCTGAAGAGAAAGGCGGAATCCGAGCGCTTTGGGCTGGCGACTTTGCAAGACTGGATGGGGGTTCTCAGAAAGCAGGGTTTGGGGCAGTGGGGTTGCTGGGGAGAGGTGCAGCATCCCTTCTTCTCTGTCTTCGGCTTGAGCTAGGATGAAAGGTGTTGCGTTCGAGCGCACACTCGGAGTTCATGGGCGGGGTCCCTGGCGAAGGCCATCACCCCACCGCCAGTGAGACTACTTTTTTGCCTCAGTTTCCCTTAGTTGCCCCTGTCCTTCAGTCTCCCTTTCGGGAGATCACTTTGTTTCGAAGAAAAGGGACATTAACTGAAAAGTCCAGGTGTCTCCTCTTCTCGTCCTAGCCCAGGGATGGGGCGTAGGGGTGAAGGAAGGCATGCGTGGCGTAGAGTCCGCTTTGTCGCGGGCTACACAGCGGTGGGACCTCACCCCCTTCTAGCGCACGGGTTGACTCACCCGGGGATTTCCACCTCCCACCCCCGTCCCTATCCTTGTTGTTAGATGCCCGAGGCGACACCCGCTGAGCCTACTGTCCCCTGTGGGGCAACGTGAGAGCATCACTGAGGGGGAGGGAAAGTAGTTGCTGTAGCTACTCTCTCCGGTGCCCTAGAATCTAGATGTGGGGGCCCTCTGGTGGGATGCAGAGGTGTCGCCTCCCCCTATTGCCTTCTGCAGGTTAGGGACATCCTGCGCGCGTGTCGGGGTCTCGGGAGAGAGATGGCGCCGCCCGAGCCCGAGCGAGTGTGGATACCACGCATTCCTCGGCCTGATAAGGAGCCGGAGAGTGCTGCCTGAGCCGGGCGGGTCTTACTGGCGTCTCCATGGAGACGCGCCTGGCTTCGTGTAGTGGTTGGGTAGGGGTGCTGTTAAGGGATTGAGATGTCCCCATGCTTTGCATGCGAGCCCTCCGATTTCGGGCTCTTTCATTCATTCATGCGCCTGCCTCCCTTGGACCAGGCAAAAGAAGCTGAGGGTGAACCTGATTGCTGGTTTCACGCGGTACTGTGGAAAACAAGATAATTTCCGATGATAAAGTCAGATGCTCCGATAGAAATTGGGGGTGGGCTGTGCTGGGCAAGATGCCTCGTTTCTTTAATCCCAGTGCTCAGGAGAGTTAAGGGGGCATCTTTTTTATTCAAGGCCAACGTGATCTACATAATGAGTTTCTGGTCAACCTGGGATACACAGTAAGTCCCTGACCCCAAAACAAAACAAAAAGAGAAGGTAGTTCCTGAAGGCCTAGACAGTGACAGTCAAATGAAATCCAAAGATAAGATAGTCTACCGGAAAAAGTGTTTGTGTGGGGGTTGGGAGGGGGTCTGTAGGAGACACCAGAGGCCACTACAGCTGGTCTCGACCCTGAGGTCGAGATTCAAAAGGAGGTTAGTGTGTGTATGCCTGGGCCTTAGCTAGCCATAGGAGAGTGTGGCGGTGGGGGGGGGGGTGTGAGAATAAAGTTCTGAGTTAGGTCAGTTCTCCCCTGCAAGCTTGGTGGGCAGAAGCCATGTAGGAGGGGCTACACCCACACAGCAACCAAAGGGGTAGGGGTTGGGGGAGGTTCCTGCAGAGCTGAGCTTGGCCAGCTGCTTGCAGGGATGGGTGAGCTCTTTGGAACTGGGAGGGAGTGGAGGGGGTGGAGGGGAGCCACCAGGCCTTCCTTCAGCCTTCCCCTCCACTAATCTCTAGCTAAGCAGTCATGTCCGGGTCTATCTCTCTTCCCTCACTCCAGACCCTTTCACTTGGTCCTCTTCCTCATGTATTTTCTGCAGTCCTGGGAACCCAGGGCTTCAAAAGGATGCTGTACCCCTAAGCTACACCAAGTTCTTAATTTCATGTATTTATAGACAGAGTCTCACTATGCAGCTGTCCTGAAACTCACTATGTAGATCAGGCTGCTCTCAAATTCACAGAGATCTGCATGTCTGTCTCCCAAGTCCTGAGATTAAAAGTGTGCACCAACACACAGTGCTTTTTAATATGTATACAGTTTAAACTTACATTTATTTATGTGTGGGCATGTGTGTTTCGTGGCATGAGTGTGCAGGTTAGAAAAAAACTTTTGAGAGTCATTTCTCTCTTTCACTATGTGGGTACTGGGGGTGGATCAAGTCTCCAAGCTTGGTGGCAAGTGCCTTTAGCCAATGAGTCGGCAGTCTCCTTGTACTACCCAGGCTCATCTCCAACTCACTATGTAGCCTAGGCTGGTCTTGAACTCCCATCTTCCTTCCTCAGCTTCCTGTGTAGCTGGGATTATAGGTATGAACCAGTCAGGCTCATTTTTAGTTCAGAGCCTATTCTCTAGCGGCTACTTCCCCTGTCTCTGAGAGGCAGTCTGGACCACTGTGGTGGAGTGGGACAGGAGGCCAGAGTCGGAGTTTAGCCAGGTCTTGGAGTCTGGACAAAGGGAAGAGGCCCGCCTCTATCCGCCTGTAGAGTGACTCTTCCTCCAAGGCTCCAACCCTTTGGGCTAGCTTCCTCTTTCTGAAAGTCCTTAAACCGCTTAAGCTCCTGTCTTTGGTTAGAAAGGTTCTAGGAGGGAAAATGAGATGAGATGAGAGAGAGAGAGAGAGAGAGAGAGAGAGAGAGAGAGAGAGAGAGAGAGAGAGAGAGAGAGAGAAAGAGAGAGAGAGACAGAGAGAGAGAGAAATCGAGCGTAAGCACGTGCCAGCCTGGACCCGAGTTTCCCCTTCCTTACTTGGACAGTGTGTGTGGTGTGTCTGTAGTGTGTGTATGGTGTGTGTCTGTGTATGGTGTGTGGTTTGTGTGTGTATATGTACGATGTATGTGTGTGTTTGGGGGTGTGCGTGCGTGTATGTGAGTGTGAGTACACTCACACAAAGAGTCTTAGCCTTGGTATAGGCTGTGAGTATAGACAGCATTTACTGTCTTCCCTCCCCTGGAAGACAGACTTTCTGGTCGGTCCCTAGGGTGCTCTGGCTGGCCGGTCACATTTATTTCTGCAGGAAATGGCCGTAATTCTTCCTCTTGTACCCGGCCAGACTGGAGAAGAGGTGGGAGTCTCAGAGGGGGGTGGGTAAGGGACACACCCAGGGGTTCTCACCCACCAGGCTTGGAATTGGAGGGGGGTTGATTCTCAACAATGAATCCCAAGAGGGGCCCAGATGATCAGGGCAGCATGGAGGCATCTAAGGGGGGGGGGGTGACCCAGCGGTCAGACTGTGGTTCAAACAGCCCCACAGGGACAATCACACAGCTCCTGAAGAGCAGAGTCCCAGCAGCTTCCAAAAGGGGACAGTAGGATTCTTCACTGCAGCTGGACCAATCGGATGCAGAGGATGCACGGAAAATGAGCCAATCAGGCTCCGGGCTACTTCGGCTTGAATACCTGGCTTGAAGGCCTAGCTGTGTGGCCTAGGCCAAACTGGCTTGGGACCCGCTGCAATGCAACGAGCTGAGGGCATTGGGGCACCCGGGGCTCTGTCCAGGCAGGGGAAACAAGGAGCCTCTGTGTGAGGATCTGGGTGGGGCAGCTGTCCCCGAGGACACGTACAAGCTCTTCTCTGTTCCCAAAGTAGGACGGATGTCCCCTCGCCCAGGGGGTGGGCAGCAGCTGTCTCTGTAAACCCCTTCAAAGGCTAGGGTGTCCAACCGAGGGGACATCCGGGAAAGGAGATGGCTGGGCGACCCCGGAAGACCCCCATCATTTTCAGTGCTCACTAGGAACCGGCTCAACCAGCCAGCTTCTGGAACGGTGCTCTTTCTGGGAAACACGTGGCTCTTGTCAGGCCTCTTTCCAAGCCCAGGCTGGGGAGACTTCTTAACATGTGGCCTCTCCCTGTAACCAAGAACTGGAGGATTTACATTGCTCCAGCCCCTCTGAGATTCCCCCTACTCCCCTCTAGCTGGCCATGGCGTGTTCAGCGTCTCATGTTCTCTGCCCACACAGATCCCCCTCCCTTCCCCTGTCCCTTCCCAGGCTCAGCTCAGTTTTCCTTGCAAAGGAGGGGTGGGTGACTCAGACGCTTCATGAAAACAAATTTCTAACCTCTCTGCCTGCCTCTCTGCACAGACTGCTCCAAGGGGGCCTCCCCTCACAGCTCATATACCCTGCCTCCCGGCCCCTCTGCATAGTCAGCTACATTGGGGCCCCTTCACAGCTCACATGACTTTAGCAGCTACCCCATCTTCCCAGCCAGGACCTCCCAGACCTAGTGACCCTCCTCATTCTCTCCATTTCCACCCCTAGACTTCCTCACACCGGATGTGACAGAGGCTCTGCCATGTTTGTTCCAGGGGCTTGACACATCTGGATTGCATCCTGGCACTGGTGGGGGTGCCAGCGCCCTGCCCGCCCCCTAGGGACCCAGTGTCCTTGGTAGTGTGAGATGGTGGGGATGGAAACCAGCTGTTAGAGGGTGGGTTTTTGTTGTTGTTGGTTCTTTTTTTTTGGCTAAGTCAGCATCTTTTCCCAGAAGATCGGGTGGATGGAGGTAGTCCAGAGCTTGTGTGTGTTGAGAAAGGGGGAACACTGAAGACATTAGCTAATACTTGTTGGATATTTCCTCTGCTCTCTGTGTGTGTTGTGTATGTAGGTGCATGTACATGTATGTGTACACGTGAGTGTGTGTGCCAGAGGGCAAGTTCACCTACTGCTCCTCAAATTCCATCCTATCTTGTGTTTTGCCTTGTTTTTTGAGACAGGGTCTCTCAGTGGCCTGAAACTGTCCAAGAAGATTAGACTGAGGACCAGAGGCCTGGGGATCCTCCTGTCTGCTTGCCCAGTGCTAGGGTCACAGATTTGACTCCTCACCCTTGGTTTTTTTGTTTGGTTGGTTTTTTTGAGACAGAGTTTCTCTGTCTAGCTACGGCTGTCCTGGAATTAGCTCTGTAGACCAAGCTGGCCTCAAACTCAGAGATCAGTCTGCTCTGCTTCCCTAGTGCTGGGATTAAAGGCATGCGCCACCACCACTCAGCTCACTCTCAGTCTTTTTGTGTAAGTGCTGGGGGCTAGCCTCAGGTCCTGTGTATACAAGGCAAGGATTCTACCTACTGAGCTGTCTCTTCAGGCCCTGCATATATCTTTTTCTTTTTAAATTTCTTTCCATTGAGCTTCTAGGGAGCTTGCCCTGTCTCAAACTCCCACGTTACCATTACTGGCCTTATTAAACGTGGGGATCAAACTCAGGCCCTCACATTGAGAAGGCAAGTGCTTTACCAGTGTCTCCCCAGCTCCCGAGCAGCTGTTCCCGCCCTTTCTCTTGGTTCTCCCTCCTTCCCTTTTTAAAGTTTATCATGTTTATTATGGGGGGACATGATGTGTAGGGAGAATGGGCACACCCTTGCCACTGGCATCTGATGTGGAGGTCAGAGGACAATTCCAGAGAGTCACTCCTACCATAGCTCTGGGGACTCTAACTCATGGTGTCAGGCTTGCTCAGCAAGTACACTTCCCCAGTCAGCCATCTCTCATGCCCTGTCCATCCGTCTTTTCTGCCCTCACTCTTTCTCCAAGCTGGTCCTGAACTCTTGGGTCAAAGTTCACATCACCTTGGGTGCTGTGATTACAGGAGCACAGCAGGTTTCACACATCCTTGAAAAAGAGTTTTTCATCCCTTATGGAGATATTTTTTGGTACCCATTGTACAGATGGGTATGTTGGGGCTAAGAGGCTGAGCCTTCAGTAGCTCACTCTCTTGAGTGTTGGAGTTAGAGTGGGAACAGATGAACTCTGCTGTGCCACCAAGGTCCATGTCCTTCGGGATAGTACAGCTTTGGGAGGCTTGGACCTTAGGGCCGTCCTGGTGTCTCCCCAAGTCCTTATCTTTGGGTGTGCCCATGGCCTCAAGGCTTAGTCCCAGCCTGGAATCCTGGCTGTGGGTGGTAATGAGCAGGGTTTGGTGCTGGTGGTAATAAGAATCTTGCTGACCCAGGTCAGCAGACAGCATGAAGCCTGAGGCTCCTGTGTGTAGGACAGAAGTGACAAGCTGTCCAGTCCCTACCTGAGGCTTGTTCTCTGGGAAGGCAGGTAGGTTTCTAGAAGTCCAGGGAATCTTCTATGTGTTCCTTTTTTCTTGAGACAGGATCTTGCTGTGCAGCTCAGGCTGCCTGGAATGTGTAGCAGCCCTCCTGCCTCGGCCTCTTGAGCACAACGCTATGCCTGACTTTTTTGTTTGTTTTTTTGTTTTTGAGACAGGGTTTCTCTGTGTAGCTTGGCTGTCCTGGAATTCAGCCTGTAGACCAGTTAGACCTCAAACTCACAGACATTCTCCTGCCTCAGCTTCCCAAGTGCTGGGACTAAGGGAATACACTACCACCAACTAGCTATGTCTAACTTTTTCTTTTTTTAAAGATTTATTTATTTGTATATGAATACAATGTAATTGTCTTTAGACATACCAGAATGCCTAACTTTTTAAAAATATTTAAATAATTTTATTTCTTTAAATAAAAATTATATCATTTCTCCTCTTCCTATTCCTTTCTCCAACCCATCCCTTGCAACACCCTACTCTCTCTCAACTTTATGGCCTCCATTTCCTTCTCTGTCTATATATATTCCTAAATATATAAATACAACCTGTTCAGTTCATACAGTATTTCTTTTTTTTTTTTTTTTTTTTTTTTAGTATAGAATAGAGTTTATTCAGGGCATGGGAGGGGAGCCAGGAGGGTAGTAGAGGCAGAGAGAGAGAGCGCAGAGAGGTAGAGGTAGAGGAGTAGGGACTGGCCATGACCGCGTGGAAAGAGGGAGAAGGGAAGAGGGGAGGGGGCAGAGAGAAGCTGGAGGCAAGAGAGCTACAGTATTTCTTATATGAATATAATTTCAGGGCTAATCACTTGGTATTGGATTTTTTTTTTTTTTTTTTTGAGGCAGGCTAGCCTCAGACTCACGGAGCCTTGCCTGCCTCTGCCTTCTCACTGATGAGCTTAAAGACACATCTTGTGTAGCCGAGGCTGTCTTCCCCAACTTGCTTCATTATATAGCCAAGATGACCATGACCTCAATCGTGCTTCTACCTCCCAAGTGATGGTGTTACAGACATGAACTACCATGACTTAAGTATGCCCTGCTGAGGTTGGAACCCTGGGTTTCCTGCATGTTGGACAAGCTCTCTACCAAGGGAGTTACAGCCCTAGCACTCTGTTCTTTGTTTCTGAGACAGAATCTCACTTTGTAAACCTCACATGGTTTAACACGCCTTGGATCACAACTCTTGGGAGGCAAGGGGAGGTAGAACTCCATGAGTTCCAAGCTGTTCAGTTCACCTACTAAGATTCTGTCTTAAAACCAAATAAAATGTCAAAAGACATCAACAAAAACAGAAGGGCTGGAGAGATGGCTCAGCAGTAAAGAACACTGACTGTTCTTCTGGAGATCCTGAGTTCGAATCCCAGCAACCACATGGTGGTTCACAACCATCTGTAATGAGATCTGATGCCCTCTTAGGGGGTATCTGAAGACAGCAACAGTGTACTTACATATAATGATAAATAAGTAAAACCTTTTAAGACACACACATACACAAGAGACTGTTGCTGGGGCTTACTGACTGTGTACCCTATCACGTGGTAGCTTGGTGACCTTGAAAACCTGAGCTGACTTCTCTAAGCATTCAGTCTGTCACATGGAGGGTCGGTGATGAATGTAGCTTCCCTGAGGTCACTCACTGAGATCTTGGAGCTAGACCCTGAAGCTCTGTAGTCACAGTTCAGAGTCCCTGCAAAAGCCACAACCATGACCTGCTGTCCCTTTTCTGTCCCTCTGTCCTCTGCAGTGCTCAGCCCCATGGCCCCGGCCGGCCACTGAGCCCCACCATGGGCGGCTTATACTCAGAGTACCTCAATCCTGAGAAGGTTCTGGAACACTACAATTACACCAAGGAGACGCTGGACATGCAGGAGACCCCCTCCCGCAAGGTGGCCTCGGCCTTCATCATCATCTTATGCTGTGCCATCGTGGTGGAGAACCTTCTGGTGCTAATCGCAGTGGCCAGGAACAGCAAGTTCCACTCAGCGATGTACCTGTTCCTTGGCAACCTGGCAGCCTCCGACCTGTTGGCAGGCGTGGCCTTCGTGGCCAACACCTTGCTCTCGGGGCCTGTCACTCTGTCCTTAACTCCCTTGCAGTGGTTTGCCCGAGAGGGTTCAGCCTTCATCACACTCTCCGCCTCGGTCTTCAGCCTCCTGGCCATCGCCATCGAGAGACAAGTGGCCATCGCCAAGGTCAAGCTCTACGGCAGTGACAAAAGCTGTCGAATGTTGATGCTCATTGGGGCCTCTTGGCTAATATCGCTGATTCTGGGTGGCTTGCCCATCCTGGGCTGGAATTGTCTGGACCAGCTAGAGGCCTGCTCCACTGTGCTGCCCCTCTATGCTAAGTACTATGTGCTCTGCGTGGTCACCATCTTCTCCGTCATCTTACTGGCTATTGTGGCATTGTATGTCCGAATCTACTTTGTAGTCCGCTCCAGCCAAGTGGATGTTGCTGGTCCTCAGACACTGGCCCTGCTCAAGACGGTCACCATTGTACTAGGTGTTTTCATCATCTGCTGGCTGCCAGCTTTTAGCATCCTTCTCTTAGACTCTACCTGTCCCGTCCGGGCCTGCCCTGTCCTCTACAAAGCCCATTATTTTTTTGCCTTTGCCACCCTCAACTCATTGCTCAACCCTGTCATCTATACATGGCGTAGCCGGGACCTTCGGAGGGAGGTGCTGAGGCCGCTCCAGTGCTGGCGGCGCGGGAAGGGAGTGACGGGACGCAGAGGTGGGAACCCTGGTAACCGGCTCCTGCCCCTCCGCAGCTCCAGCTCACTGGAGAGAGGCATGCATATGCCTACATCGCCAACATTTCTGGAGGGTAACACAGTGGTCTGAAGGGAAAATGTGAACTGATAGTTAACCAAGCCACAGAGAGCTCTGTGGAGAGAGACCAGGTGACCTCATGATGTCTCTCAGCCCCACAGGTCTGGAGGAACTGACCACAGCTCATAGGTCAGGTGGCCAACGGAAGCACTGACTAATTGGATTGTAGTACCAAGACTGTGGGGACCATTAAGGGTCTAGGGTGACAGCAGGCTGGAGCCTCAGGCTAGACATTTGCCACTTGCTACAAAAGGTCTCAGCATTCTGTCTGTCCTATCTTCCGGCCCCCTGGTTCCCTTCCTGCCTCCTCCATTTAAGGGCCTCTCTATGTAGCCCTGACTGGCTAGAACTTGCTAGGCAGACCAGGCTGACCTAGAACTCACAGAGATTTACCTGTCTGTTCTGAGTGCTGGGATTTTAAAGCTCTGTACCACCACACCCAGCTCCTGCCACCTTCCATAAACAACCTTAGGCTACTTCTTGAGGAAACACTGTCCCCAGAGGACCCAAGGCTTCTTCCCTGTCTATCTGAGGCCTAAATCCACAGCTTCCCCAATTTCATAAACTGCTGCTTCTTCTCTTTCCTTTCATGTTCGGGGAAAGGAAACCACTGTGGGGGCAGGGAGGAGTCCTGGAATCCCAATCTTTATTCTCAGATCTCATTGACCACTTGCTTTATTGGGGAGCAGTGAAGAATCCGTTGAGGCAGTGTGGGGCAGATGTTGAGGAGACTTTGGGTTTCCTGATGAGGACACTCTAGGGGAGGTATTGATCATTCTGGGAACCCCTTCTCCCATACCCAGCCTCCCTCCACATGAGCTCCTTACCCCTTAACCCTTTTCCAGGCACCAGGTCCCCTAAGGCAGAGCAGCCTTGAACTGGATGTAGCTGCTTGCAATTTGTTGTTTTTAAAAATTGGGACAGGGTCTCATGCAGCCCAGGCTGGCCTCCAACTTACTATGTAGCCAAGGCTGTCTTTGGACTTCTGATCCTCCTGCCTCCGCTTCTGGAGTGCCGGTATCACAGGGGTGCACCACCACCACCACCTGTCTTGAAAATGACCATGAATGACATAGTTCACAGAGCTATGGATGGCCAAGGACATTCCTGGGTACTCTTAAGCATCTTCCCTTGAAGGACTTTGCTAAATCCTGTGGAGAAATAGAAAATCCAGTACGGTACAAACTGTATTTATATGTGTCTGTGTGTCCATGTGGGGTCTGTGACCTCCTGTCCAGTCTGGGTGCTGCCTGACCTCTTATGTGCACATCTATGTCAAGACTGCTAGAGAGATAGGCGGGGGTGTGTCCGTGGGGCCTGGCCACGGTCAGGCCTCCTGGGAATCACTGATTCATCTCTCCCACACACAGAAACCTCTGCCTTAAAGAAATGTGTGGAAGAAAAGGCTGAGGAAGGGGAGACTTGGGAGGCAAGGAGCCAGTCGGGAGTGTGTCTCCCCTCATACAGCTTCCCAGATGTCCCCCTTATGCTGGAAACCCAGATCTGGGCCAATAAACAGTTCGATTTCTCTTGCTGCTCGTGGTTATGGTGTCTGTGTGTCTGTGTGTCTGTGTGTCTCTGTGTGTGTGATAGGCAGACATTCCCTACCCCCCATTAGTGTCCTGCCAAGGCACCCCAGCTTTTCCATTTTTCTATCCATCCCCCACTCTTAGCTCTGTCTGAGCTGGAATTGAATGCTGTGGCTTCTGGGACAAAAAAAAAAAAACAGGCCAACTTGACCTTTTCCCTAGGCCTACTGGGAAGTGTCTGGCTCCTCACATGACTCATTAGGCCCAGGGCCACCATGTTTTCCTTCAAAGGTACACCTTAGCAGGTGAGTTTCAGCTTTTCTCCATCCCAAGTTTGTGCACAGTCTGGGGAGTTGGAGAGGTGGTCTCAGGGGGATAAGCAAGCCCAGCTACCCCTTCAGGGTTACTATTTCCCAAAGTCCTGGGACTACCATCAATACTTTCTTGATTTGTTTTATTTTAGATATGTGTCAGTCTCTCTCTCTCTCTCTCTCTCTCTCTCTCTCTCTCTCTCTCTCTCGTGTGTGTGAGTGTGTGTGTGAAGATTGTGGAATGCATGTACATGTAGTACTTAAGCAGGCCAGGGGCATTGGATTCGATGGTGCTGGGGTTACAGGTGGTTTTAATTGGCCTGTTGTGGATGCTGGGAACAGAACATAGGCCTTCTGGAAGAGCAGCAAGTGCTCTCAACCATGGAACCATCTCTCCAGCCTCTTTTCATTTCTCCCCACTCTTCCCCAGTTACTGGGGATTCAACCTAGAATGTCAATACACAAGCACTCGTGCACGCTTGCACAGACACAGGGATTTAGCCATATCAGGCTAACTTCAAATTCACTATGTAGTAGCTGAGGATGACCTTGAACTTGCTTCCACCTGCCTTTACCTCCCACGTGCTGGAGTTATGCCACCAAGCCAGGTTTATGTTGTACTAAGGATGGAACCCAGGGCTCCCTGCGTGCTAGGCCATTGCTCCATCAGCTGAGCACCTCCCCAGCCTCAGTCCTCAAGTTCTTTGTGTTATCCTAAGGGGCTCCAGGGATGAGCTTTCCTCCGCTGCCCAGAGGCAAGGGTCTTTAAGAGCCTGTTCTTGGGCTGAGGTTATGGTTCAGTGGCTGAAGCTTCTGCTGGGAAAGACTGAGGAACAGAGTTTGCATCTGTAGGAACTACATGATATTGTAAAGGCTGGGTGGGTCTGGAATCACTGCACTGGGGAAGCAGAGACAAGCAATCTTGGTGTGGGGGGTGGGGGAGTGGCAAACTAGCACCTGCAGACCAAGAAAGACCCTGCTTCAGTAAATAAAGAGAGGGATAGAGGGAGATACCTGAAGTCAGCCTCGGCCCTCTACACAAGCGCTTGCATCTGTGAACTCGGCTATATGCAGACACACACACATGGACTCTTCCAGCTTGGCCTCCAATACAATGCTAGTCCCAGACAGGGTTCAAGTTACCCAACAGTGGTCATTTCTGAACTGTCCAGAGAAGGGAAATTCCAGTAGGGGGAAGGCCTGTGGCCTCTGTCCTCTTGCAATAGACCTTTGGATACTGCAATAGACAATTGACAGAGTTCATGCACTAGCATCAAGCCAACAAATTAAACCACAAACATAAATAAACAAAAAATAACCCCCTCAAAACAAAATGTTTTAATTAAGTTTGATTGTTGAAAATTTTTCTTTTTAAAGTTTCCTTTTAAGTGTGTATATGTGTATGCACAGATGTGTGCATGTAAGTGTAGGTGCCCAAGAAGTCAGAGGTTTCAAATCTTGTGGGAGCTGGAGTTGTAGGTGGTTGTCCTGAGCTGCCTGATGTGGGTGTTGGGAACCGAACCCATGTCCTCTGTAAGAGCAGTAAGCTCTCCGAGCCCCTGGGCTGTCTCTCAAGGCAGGTTTCTGATTTTGTGTTGGTTCACATTCATCGTTAACTTGAGATGCATGTAGCCTTCAGGTCGCATATGCCTGCGACCTGCCGTCTTTCCTTCCACTGGCTGCCTTTGTGTGCTGGTTAGGCCTCTAGCCTCCAGCGAGAATCTTCACCAAAGGTCTCTGTCTAGTGCTTGGAATCAAGTCCAGGGCTTTTGCACATCCTAGCTAGACACACAAACACACAGTGAGTTTAACATGCTAACCTTAAACTTATTTTTTCCTCCAAATAGCCACGTTTTCTCTGTTTAGGCCTTGGTTAAGTGCCACCTCTGAGAAGCCTGCCCTGACTACACATTCTCTTCATCCATTGTGGCTCCTCTGCTCATCACCTGTCTCTTTCATCAGAATGTGAGCAGCTGGGGCTGGGCGCTCGCTCAGTGGGTTAAAAAAAAGTACTCGTAGTCTGGATTACCAGCTGAATTCAGAGTCTCAGACTGGGCTCAGGAGATAGAGTGTTTGCTCAAGTCCTGTTCCCTATCCCCGAACTGCAAAAAATAAAAATAAAAAAACGGCCATGGTGGCCCACACTTCTAATCTCTGGACTCAGGAAGTGGAGGTAATAGGATCAGAAGGTCAAGGTCAGCTTCAGCTACACAGTGAGTTCAAGGCTACCCTGTACTACATGAGACCATGTCTCAAAACGAATGATACTCTTTTTTTTTTTTAAAGATTTATTTATTTATTATATATGAGTACACTTGTAGCTGTCTTCAGACACTCCAGAAGAGGGCATCAGATCTCATTACAGATGGTTGTGAGCCACCATGTGGTTGCTGGGATTTGAACTCAGGACCTCTGGAAGTGTAGTCAGTGCTCTTAACCACTGAGCCATCTCTCCAGCCCCACGAATGATATTCTTAAGCTCTTGCTGTGAGAATTTCAGATCAAGGGGGTCTGAGTTGACCCAGGAACGTGCTTTCATCAAACATTCCCAATAATAAAAAAAACAACAACAAACAAACAAACAAAATACCCCAAGGGCTGGAGAGATAGCTCAGTGATTAAGAGCACAGGCTGTTCTTTCAGAGGACCTGGGTATGATTCCCAGTACCCATATGATAGATAGCTCACAACTGCCAGTTACTCCAGTCCCGGGAAATCCAAAACCCTCTTCTGGGCTCCACAGGTACAAGTCACCTTGTGGTGCACAGACATACATGCAGACAAAACACCCAAATACATAAAAATAAATAAAATTTTAAAAATAACTGGACAATGATACCTCATACTTTTAAACCCAGGATTTGGGAGGCAAAGGCAGGCAGATCTTCAAGTTCAAGGCCAGCCTGGTCTACCCAGAGTGTTCTAGGACTCCTGTTTTGAAAAAACCAAGATAAATAAATTAAGAAGTTAATGAATAAAAATCCCTGGTGGGGGGTAGGCCCCTTAGGTCAAGGTGATTGGCATCAAGTCCGTGGCCCACATGGTGGAAAAAGAGAACCGACTTCCACAAGTTCTCTGACTTCAATGTATTTTGTGATGCAGATTGTACGCATGCTCATGTGTACACACAGAATGAATAAAAAGAATGTCATACATTTTTGACATTAAAAAGCCACGCTCTCTAAAAGCGTCTTTAGCCATAATAGTACACCTGTAAGTGATCTTGGGCTGGGTTCCATAACATAGCTCTGGCTGAGCACACACAAGGCCCCGGAATCCATCACTACCATAGGGGTGGACAGCTCTGGAGGGGCTTCAGAAAAACCTAGCTTTGGTTCCTAGCATCCACATGTGGTTCACAAATATCTGTAACTCCAGTTCCAGAGAATCTGACAACTTCTGACCTCCACAGACACCGAGCATGCACATGATATACATGCTGGCAAAGCACTCACACATATGAAGTAATAAATGCAAGCGTTCTTCAGTCCTGAGCAGTGTGATTCATCGATGCTTAGTGCTGTTAGCACAAAGCAAAGATTGAATTTTAAATTTTAATTAATTAGTAAACTTTTAAAATTTCATGTTTGAGACGGACTATTACTCCGTAGCCCAGGCTGACCTAGAACTCACTGGCCATGCGTACTGTTATTCTTTGTAATCCCCTACACCAGAAAAACCAATTTCTTCCGATCACTCAGCTGAGCCAGTGTCTATATGTCTGTCTATGTGTCAGTTGTCTGTCTTCTCTCCTTTGGAGCTGCTATTTCCTGATTCATAATTGTGAAGGGTCCTGCGGTGAGATCTCCTGACGGTGCAACTTCCTGTATGACTCAGTCCGTTCTCAACAGCTTTGGCGTATTCTCATTATTTAGAAAAAAACCAACAAAACAAAACATGAGAAATGAAATAATTTTTCAACATTTTGTTTTATATCTGTAAAAGATAGCCAACACTGGGAGGAAAAAAACCTTAACCACAATACCAGCATCATGGTTAGTATCAGTATTATCAGAAGGGACTGGTAGGGGCACTTGCCACCAAGGCTGATGACCTTATTCCATTCTTAGAACCCACATGCTAGAGAGGAAGAACTGACTACAGTGGGGTGTCCTCTGATCCCCATGCCCACATACACAATTGATAACTTAATTAAAATAGTGTTTGTTCTGTAAAACAGGGTCTCTCTGTAATCCTGACTCTCTATGTAGACCAGGCTGGTCCTGAACTCACAGAGATCTTCCTGCCTCTGGAGTGCTGGGATTAAAGGCGTGTGTCATGAAAGCCCCCCACCCCCCAACCCATGTGGACTTCTCACAAAGGGGAAACGGAGCTGGGCATGGTGGTCACGTACATAAAATCCCAGCTCTTGGAGGTAGAGGCAGGACGGTCAGATGGCTCAGTTGGTAGAGAGTTTGCCTTGAATGTACAAGGCTCTGGCTTCAATCCCCAGCACTGAATAAACCTAGCACGTGGCAGTCTGGGTGGTAAAGTGGCTAGCCACCAAGGAGGACTTAAGCTTGGTTCTTCATGGTGGAAGGAGGGAACCAGCTCCCAAACGTCGTTCTCAGACCTTCCCGTGTGCTCCCTGGCACATGTAACTCACACTTCTCACAAGTGAGAAATAAATGCATTCTTTTTAAAGTTTGGGGGCCAGAGAGACGGTTTGACAGTTAAGAGCACTTGCTGCTCTT